TGAGAACAACCCCAAATTTTCACAAAACTGAAGATGTGTTGCACTTTTCACCGAATTACTGTGCGTAGCTGTTGAGTGTGGACCCACCGGATGACCACCTCAAGCAAAATTTTGTGAAATTTTTACACTAGGAGGTCGACCCCCTGGTCGACCACCTCTTTGTTTTCTCAGTAATAAAAAATAGGAAAAGAGAGAAAGATCAGAACCAATTTTTTCATTTTTTTGCATTGACTAGTCGACTGGCCGATCGTTTGCCCGGTCGACCGATAGTTTGATGAAAAGCCAAATTTCTCCGTTGGAGCAGGCGATATCAAATAGAGGAAATCGTCTTTTATCTCATAGCTTCAATGACTCATCCCTACTATCTATACTATTATTGTTATACTCTATATTTGAGTTATGTAAATTGTCACTTTTTTGCTTCTCAAAATACCTCTTGATAACTGCTCTGAACTATTTTAATTCTTTTAGATCCAACTGTTTCAATAACTGTCATAGTAATGAGGTTCAATTCCTTCAAATAACTGTTATTTTATGGCGGTGCAGATTACAGACTCTATTTTATCTTGATGCTTTTTCAAGGGAAAAAAAAAAAAAGAGGATTCCATTTTTGCCATTTTTTTTTTATCATTCATTAATTTTTATTCTTCCATTAGTCGATTTGATATTCGTTACCATTTCATTTTATATAATATGTCATGGGAAAGAAGAGTAAAGATCTTAAGGGACTGTGCACTTGCACTCAAATATCTCAATCATAATATGGATGGTTGCCCTGTTCACAGACATATCAAGGTAATTAATTACTGTTTCACTTGCATGTTTATCTATTTATTGAAATATGATTGATATATATATATGTGTGTGTGTGTGTGTGTGTATATATATATATGATTATTTAACGATGCTACATGTTTGATTTATAGCTTAGCAACATCCTCTTGAGTGAGAACATTGAAGTCAAGCTCTCTGATTTGTTGTTGGAAATGATGTTGAGAATGGAGATGCTAGAAAAGAAGAGTGTGATTGATTGTGCACAAGTTTGGGAAGACATAGACTTGGGTTATATGGAGCTTGAATACATGGTCAATGCCAAGTTGACTTGTGCTAGCGACATTGTTTGCATCCATTTTTGCTGGTTCCTGTCGACAGGTGGACCAGTAGGGATACAACATGTGGCAAAATCAAGTGAGGGTTCAACGGTTGTGAACGAGGATAAGTGATATGAGAGAGATTGATAAATGTGCATTAAACAGTGCTGGTGATGGAGCAGTTACTGGCAGTGATCATAAACTCAGTGGGCAATCCTTCAAGAGGAAGCATGAACAACGTGGGAGTCTTTCTCTATCGAGAGAAGGTTGGAAGGGCTTGTAGGCACATGATAACTTGAAGAAGGGACAGTTTGACAGACAAAAGTGAAGGTCTAATGTGATTGGAAGTCCTAGAAGCCAGGAAGCAATTGCAGCAGTTACACAGAAGTAGTTGCAGATTGAGGAGATTATTGAGCTGTATGAAGGAAGTATAAAGGCCAGAAATTTACACAGAGAGAGGACATCATCAATAACACAAAGAACTAGTTTTAGACTTAGCATAATCTAGGAGTAGCTTTCTTAGTTTAGGAGTAGTTTCTTCTATAATTCGTATCCTTGTAAACTTTTGTGAACTTTAGTAGTTTCATCTTGGAATTACTTTTTGTTTGCTCTATTTACTTTGTTTGATCTTGCTGATTGTAACTTTTGTTCCGAAGAAGTCCTTGTACTTTCAAGGCATTTGAATCAAAAACATAGTGGCTTGATTAGTTTGTTCAATTGTTTGTTTAAATTGTTGTTTAAATCCTGTCAATTGAGAGTGAGCAAAATTTTTACTAACAATTTTTGGCACGCCCGGTGGGACATTCTTGCATAATTTGGATTAAAGAATGGTAAAGGAAAAGAAACAAGTTGATAAGCATGCTGAGAAAGGCCTACTGAGTTTAAAGAAGAAGAGGTAGACCAAGACTTGGTCTTGGCTGATGATGGTGTTGCTCAGTATGTAGGTCAAGTAGTAGCCCAGAAAGGCCAAATGAGTGGCCAAGCAATGAGTACAGAAGGCTAGTGTAGACACCCCATTTTTTACCACCCTTATGACTTGGGCACCATCACTTGCACACCCAATGATGAATGTATATACATGTCAAGTGCTTGAAAGTCCTCAGTGGAATGCCACAGCTCTGAGCCTCAAAACCTTGAAAACCTTGTGCCTTGTTTTTGCACCAAAACCCCAGCCTTTCAAACTTGAAAAACTTGGGATCTGCAAGCCCATTTTTGTGGACTACCGGCCATCCCTTTTGGCTGCCGGCCACCCTTGTGCCTTGCCGGCCACAAGTGTGTTTTGCAGATATTTTCTGCCAACTATGCCAGTTGTTTGTATAGATGCTTGCATTTGCTCCCACATGTATGGATGGATGTTTCTGAGGGAGTGGCATGTTTTTCTATAAATATAGGACCTCTTCTCCCATTTTTGAGGGTTAAAAAAATTGGAGCAAAATTAATTTTCTCTCTCTTGAAATTTCTTGAGCTTTTGCCTATATACTCTTAACCAAACCTTGCCCTTTGAGTTGCGTTGCTTTTGAGCCTAAATTGATCTCTTGAGGATGTGTATGTGTTGAATTATTGCTTAAAAGTGTTCTTCTTTTCAAGAGGTATAAGGCTTTGCTTGTTTCATTGCTTTAGTTGCTTCTTTTCTTACTATTTTTCCACTGTTTTTGGGCTATATAAACTCTGTATTTTTGGGCTGAAACTTGTGGTTTAAGGGCTTAAAGGGTGGAAGCGTGTTTCACCTTTCTTTCCGCCTTCCTTATCTAGCCTTTACCCTTGTGTTTCCCACCTTTACAGTATCTTTTTTTGAGCTTTCAAACACTGAATTTCAGAATTATTTTAGTGGCTAAAAACATGTTTTGAAGTCCAAAATGGGAGGGGTTAGCCTCCCCTCCTTATGTCTTGTTTATTAGCTTACATAGCTCCATGTTTTAGCTTATTGTTCTAGTTATTTTTGTTTTAATTCCAGCATGTTTTAGGATTGTTTTTAGTGGTTCATTGCATTTGAGCTTTGTATTGCATGCTTGTAATGTAATTATCCTCATAGGCTTGGTGGTTTAGGTTTTAGCCACCAACCTATTTGAGTTGATAGCATTTGTTTATGGTTTTCCATACTTGTTTTCACCCCTAATCACTTCTGCAACCTCCCTCCTTTCTTGGCTTTTGCTTTGCTTTGGAAGTCGGTTCAAACTAGTTACTTGTTTAAAGCATGAGATTGAGGTCTTATGCTTAATGGTTTAATCCCTTTGGGGGTTTATTACCAACCGCATGACATTTCTCTCATGTCTAAAACAACTCTTGGTTTAATGCTTCTTTCCATTAGAGGACTTAAAGCTCACCTTTGGACTTAATGAATTAAAGAATAGAAAGGTAATTAAAATGGAATAATAAAATGAGGACTAAAATGATGCAAGATAATAACTTGGTATGGTTTCAATCGGATGTTAATTGAACCCTTAAGCCTTGAGTCGTTTCATACTCATTAGTGATGGCAACGGTTCAAGAGTCATTGTCAACCACTTCCCTTGATCATCCATGATAGAGAGGGGGTTTGAGAGTCCTTATTTGTTGCATTTATTGAACTTACACCCTTTGGTTCATAGGCCATCATGCAATAAAATTGTATCAATTGATGGTTTGTGAATCAAATTTACTACTCCTTTGAGCTTTTTGATGATAAAGAGGGGTAAGTTGTGCAAACAACCCTTGAGAATACCCTGTGCCTACTCTGTTTGCTCTCTGTTGTAGCAGGAAAAACCAGACATCAGTGGCCAGCAGGCTACTTTTGTGGACGGCAGACCATCATTTGTGGCCAGTAGGCCACCATTTCTAGCCTGTTGGCCATCTTTGCAAAACCCAGCAGTGTACTTTTCTAGCAAAACAGAGTTTTGAGGTGAAAAATAGTACAAGTGTTCTACTGTGCAACAGAGGCATCTGGCAGCAAAACAGTGGCATTTTTCGGGTGGAAACCCGCGCATGCATGAGCATTCCTCGTTTCTTGAGGCGGAGTAATTATAATAGCTAGCTTAGCACTCTTTTCATGTTGTATTCGTGTAATTAATTAGTTTGTTTTAATTTGTAATTAATTAATTAGTTAGTTAATTTTTTGTAATAATTAGTTAACTAGTTTAGTTGATTATTTCATTCATTTGTAATAGCTAGTTAATTAGTTTAGCTAGTTAGTTTATTTGGATGCTCCTGCATGAGGGCGCAAATGTTGTAATAACATGTATGTCTTCCAATCCCACGGCTTTCTCCCTTTTATTTACCTGCTTATGATGGTTAGTTTAGAAGCATCATGTTTTGTTTAGCACACCTCCATGTTTGCATCCACTTGTATTGCATGCATCGAGGCTCGGTTCATCATTTTAACTTGCATTGTTAGCTAAACATTTCTTTGAATACGTGCTTAGACCGCATGCTATCAAATTGATTAACATGCTATATTAGTAGCCGAGCCTAGTAATTGCATGCGTTGCATTAGTCATGTTGCATAGCTAGAATCACGTATTTTTCTAACTTTATCATCTTTTTTGGCTTGGAGTACTAGGTGAGCTTTTAGTTTTATTTTTTTTAGCATATTGCATTTGTATGTTAAAGTTGCCATATCAAAGCATGTTCACCATGAGGCTAAGTACTTAAGTGATAAACTATTTGAATGCCTGTGGATGAAGGCTAATTACTTGAATTGGGATGGTTTGATTCATGTACATTTAAGCCTACTTTTTTTCGAGTGGCACATTTACAAATTCTTTTCAAAACAAACATGAAATCAAGTGTTTCAATTTTTGCAAGCTAGTCTATACTTGTGTGTGTGCGCATCACATAGTAATGCTAGCCTAATAATCAGAACAAGAGCATATAATGTAAATAAGATTCACATCATGATTAGTAGAGGCCGATCTTTGATCGGGGTATGCCAGGATTATGATACTGCAAATGCAATTGGAACAAAGTCCTATAATACTCTCATGGAGGAGCTTGTTGCCCTTGAAACAAGAAATATGGAGGGTGAACAAAAAAAGAATTCTGAAGAAGATTCTATTGATTTTGCTGCTGCAACAACTGCTACTCTAGGAGTTCCTTCTCCTTGCCTTTCAAGAGGTATATCTTTTGATGATTCTCTACTTGCTGTCGCTGATCATCATAAAGTAAGGAAAGGAGATATGGAGGAAGAAGAGGAGTTGTTGAGAGCCTTGAAAATGTCAGAGGACGAATTGCCTACTTCGGTGAATGATTCACCTCCAGTGAATACTAGTGGGCAAAACATGTCTGTCAGTTCAAATGAAAGTGCATATCTCAAGAATTCTGAACCTGTAGTTCCTGTAGAAACATTAGAAGGGTATAGTGAGGCTGAAAATCAAAAGTCTTTTCTGCTTGATTTATCCTTATCCCATGATTGCAGTGCCTTGAGCAATTCGAGTAATGAGGTGATAACTCATGAAGCAGTTCCAAGGGAAGCTGGTTGTGCAAAAAATGATCAAGTAAGTGACATTGATCAATCAACTTCTGATGAATCTGGAAAATGTGTAAAATCTAAAGATATAGTTGAAAAAAGCAGTGTTGATGTTTTGGTCCAGAATGAGATTGCACCTTCTGACTCTTTTGGACAGGATACTTCATCTGCTTGTGAAAACCATATGCTTGAATCTAGAGGAGATGAAGAAAGTCAGAAGCAATCCACTTCCACATCTGATATGCATGTGCCAGAAGATAATAAACATGGTTGTGACACAGCAGAACTTTCTAGTTTATCTGCACCAGGTGCAGATTTAGATTCATCCAGCGGCAGAAGGCAACATACAGATGTTCCTGATGCTTTTACTTCAAGTGCTGAAGGCAGTGAGCCCATTTATGAAGGGGAGGAATGCATATTGGAATCAAGAACCACAATTTATGAAGACCGAGAACCTATGTATGAAGGCGAGGTGGTTCTTGCAGAACAAGTGGACAAAGGTACTGGAGATGCCTATGATGCAAGGTCCAAGGATGAAATTTCTCCAAGACAAGGTAGCAAATGCTCTGTATCAAACAAGTAGATATCTTAGTTTCTGTAGCGCATTTCAACGTGTTTGTTGGTGCTAATGAATTCATGCAAAATGCTTTGCTTACTATCTGCTCACTTCTGTATAGGGGAACTGATCAGGGATTTTTTGAAGAACAATGCTAGTCAGTTGACCATCCATGGGTACGCTAGATTTTTGTTTAGCTGTAGATTTTCTCACATATTTGTTTAGTGTCATTATTGTTCTGCAGGTAAGGAGGTTTTTCAGTTTAGGATAATTCTATTCATACAAAAAAATTATAGAAAAAATACCACAAGAATGATGTGGCAATTCCATTGCTGTAAATAAAATCCATCTTTATGGATGTTCTGTTTTGAAGTGAAAATTCTGCATTATGCCACGTCATTCTGTATAGAAATTCTGTATGAGTATTTTGTTTGTGTATCATTACTCTCATTGTAGTAATTTTTTGTATTTCTTACAGCCTATTTTCCTTACAAGATGGTCTGAAAGAACGTGAGCTTTGTGTCTTTTTCCGCAATAATCACTTCAACACCATGTTTAAGGTTAGTGGGAATCATATCTTTCTGTTACTGTAAATTAATGATTAACTGAGACCAGTGTGAGGTGGCAACAATACTATTAGCTGATGAGCAATGGAAGCCAATAAAGAGGTTATTTGGTTGTGTTACATGTTTTCTAGAAAACAGGATATGTGTTTTTGTTTTTCTTTCTTCCAAGAGAATTTAATATGGAATGGGCTTCAATTTAATGTTAATCCACATGTTTTTACTTGTTACCAAAAAAGTGAAACAAACACAATCCAAGCAGGCCCTAAAGCATTATTATATTGTTCCCTAAAGCATCATTATGTTGTTTCCTTCAACATTACTTTTTAGGATATTACCTTGTGTTATCCTTTTTGCAGTATGATGGTGAATTGTATATCTTGGCTACTGACCAAGGTTACATAAATCAGCCTGATTTGGTGTGGGAAAAGCTAAATGAGGTAAGATCCTTTTGACCGACCCTTCTTATGAGGAGCCTGCTGATATCTTATTTCTTAGCTATTTTATATGATCAATTGAAATATAATACTAATGTCTTTGCTAAACATCCTGGGAAAAATTTTGATACTTCCAAGTTTTGCTGCAAAAACCGTTCAGAGTATTATGTCCATTTTTGTATTTCTGGACTCTCCAAGTACTTACTAAATTCATTAAATGTAGTTGAGAAACCTTGTGGTAAGATGATAATATTGTTTCTTGTATGCTTATAATTCTGCCAGCTTGAAATTCAGTTTGTTTCTTGATTTTTTTCAGGTCAATGGAGATACATTGTTCATGACTGGTAATTTTAAGGAATTCAAGGTGGAAAACCATGCCAACAATACATGGGATGAACAAAATGCAATGGTCAATACTGCTGTGTGTAGCTCCTTTTATACCATTTTTTGAAATTTGGCATTGTTACTCATGCTTTGGGGAACTAATTCTAGTTTATGTGCTTCAGGAATATCTTGCCAGTATGGACAATTCAGCAGATGTCAATTCAAGTTTCAAGTAATTGTTCTAACTATTTCTTGCTTATGCATTGATTAATAGATTTGTAGTACAATAAGGGGACATGGTAGACCCCTTCTAATGGGATAATGTCGTTTTTTTTTTGTGTTGTTGGATCCTTTCAGTTGGTATTATGAGTCAAATTATTATTTTTCTTTATTTTTAATTGCTTTTCTTTTGGTTTTGTTAGTCTACTCTATTGCACTTGCTTGAATACCCTTTTTAAAATTTTTTGTTTTGCTTGGTTCAACTAATTTATGAAAACTTTGGGTGAAATTTTTGGCATTTTTCTTGTCATCAGTTGTTACCTGTTTAATGTTGGAACAAGATGCTAAATTTTTATATTAATTTGGAGTTTAAACTTCTAGTTTCCTTTTCATTGGAAAACTTCCTGTTCAAACTTGTTATTAAGTCAAGTTTATTTTTGTATTTCTTGGATTGCTAAGGGTTCGTTTGGGAAGTGGGTTGGTTTTTGGCTTTTTAGGCTATTTTAGCCTGGGGCTAAAAAGCCTGGTTTGGGAAGAGCTTTTGGTTTTTTTGACGTTTTTGTGAGAGAAAGAATGTAATGATTATGGGTTGGATGTAATGGTTTGTCTTATTGGGCTAAAAAGCCTATTTTATTTTTTGTGACTATTTTAGCCAAAAAAGCCTCAAAACCAACTACCCAAATGGAGGCTAAATGATCCTACATGTTAACCTTATTTAGTTGTGACTCATTATTCTGTTCGCTTTTCTTTTTCTTGACAGTTCTGATCTGCAATTGGCAATGGCTCTTCAACAACAGGAGTTTGAACAACAGCCACAGCGTAATGTGGAGCAACCAACTGTAAGTAGCAGTTCAAGGCTGGTCACAGGACCCCAAGTCAAATTTTAATTTTCTACTTGTTTAATTTTCAGCCTTTGAAACTATTTAAGAACTTATAAAAACATTTTTCCAGCTCCCTTTTAGAAATCTCGGTTGATATTGGACATAGATAATGTTTAAGAGTAGATTGGTTGGTTTAATCATGTGGCATAGTTGAGGATGAAGATTTGATAAAGGTCTTGTGTTAAGGTGGCCATAGCATACACCTGTTTTTGCTGAGGTTAAGCTTTCATCTAGCTTAGAAAACTTATTGCTAAAAGTAAATTGAAAATGTAGGCTGTAATAAGGTTCTGAGGTTTGTCCTGGAGCAAAGATTGAGAACTCATTTTAGTGGAAAATAATGACAACTATCATGTATCCAGAATGAAAAGGACACAACATTAGTGTCATAAAACACCCACAAAATTTTCAGCAAAGTTGCATTTCTTTTTTGGGCTTTGGGTAACAGGTCAGCCTTGAAGTTCTTAAATTAGAAACTCCATGTTGTGTGTCGGACTCATGTCCCCTCCGTCTGTGTCTGACACTGCTATGGCACCAAATTTAAAGTGTCGGTGGTTCATGGGCAGGATTTATTGGGTTGTGGGAGGTAATTTATCCATGTAGTTTGTTACTTCCAATTATATTTTGTTGTAGATTTCATCTCTCTTAAAATGTCTGGATGTAGCTTTGAGTGGGTGAATCATTTGAGTCGTGTGTTTTACGATTTTAGCAAAAAATGCTTATATATATATACATTTCATCCTTTTCAAGGTTTATTTGTAATTAGAACCTTGGATGTTACTGACTAATGATATGAAGAAACTATTTTCTTCCAATGCTTGACTTGTGAAATCTGAATGTGGAGGCACTGATGGTTGTTGATTGTAAGAAGTAGTCTAATAACTAATATTGATTGCACACTAAATTGTTCAGGAAAATGTTTGTATTTTTGTATTATCTTTGATTTTGTGGTTAGTTGTCAAGTATTGATTTTGGTTTAAAGCCTGAATTATAAATGGAGTGGAATCATTGTATTTTCTAGGGGGTTGTTCGGACTTTACCTTGGTTAGAAAACAGGTTTCTCCAAGTTTTGTGCAGTTGGGTGTCTGGGTGGGATCAAAATTTGTTTTCTTTTTTAGATTTTATAGATGTTGTGATTGGCTAGCTGTGTCCTATTCTTGGTTATTCTGTTTTTGTATTCTTTAATATCTTCTTGATGCTTTCGGTTTAATAAATTTTATTTATCAAAAAAGAAAAGAAAAGAAAAAAGGGATATATGGTACTAGTGATTGATACAGCTTGATGTCTATGGTTAATATTAACATTGAAGTAGTTTTTATTTATTTATTTATTTTTTTTATTTTAATCGAAACGTTGAAGTAGTTGAATTGAGGCCTTTTGGGGTTTGAAAGTTGCAAAGGAGAAATATTATGGTAAACCATTGTTATGATGAATATACTTGATGGTGTGGTCATTCAAATTAAGTTAGTGTGCCAAAATTTTTTGTTTTTTACTTTAGAGGTAGAGATGTCTGTGGCGCTGTATTCAACTGCATTTGTACTTTCCCTTTACTAACTTCTCTAGCATTTTATTGCTGGGAATTAGAAGAGGAGACAATTGGTGTGATTTCTTGGGATGGTGGCTTTTCTATCAATTTTGTGCTGAAACTGTTATGCTGTGTTTGGTTGAGGGATTTGAGGAGGGATTTAGAAAGGAAAATGAAAAAAGAAGGCGAAATGTGAATAAAACATGTCTATATTTCATCTAGTTTCACACACCATTTCTCTTTCATTTTTCAAATCCCTCCCTAAATCCCTCAACCAAACACAGGATTAGGGAGAGAAACAAAGTAATTTGATTCCAATTTGACCGAACCCAACTACTGGAAACTACACCAACACTCAAAGATGAGTCCAAAACAAATTAAAGCATTTTGCATTTGTATTTTCTATATTTGGATTAGTCTCGTGTAAGTGGGAAGCAAAATGTACTTTAACAAGTCAATGGAACTTTGTGCAGGTGTCAAGGAACAGTGACAAGAGCTCATCTTTGTCTCCCAAGCAGGAAGCAAAATCATCTAAAGATAAGTGTATTGTAATGTAAAATTTGTAAGCCAGGCATCATCGGATCGTGGAAGGGTTGTACTGTAAATGGTGTTGTGGCTGTGTCTTCGTCCCTGGCCTGACCTATATTCTCGTTACATGTGATTTTAGATCAGGTTTTTAGCTGTAAATGAAGTGTATGTTTTTGCATTGCTAGGCCCCGCAATGTTAGGGTTGTTTTTTCGGATGGAAATAATAGCAGATTTTAGATGTGTGTTATCATGTCCAGTAATGTTACAAAAACATACTTTACTGGCACTTTAAAGGAATGCCACAAACACTGCATTCTGTGCATTTTTTGTTTCTTGAAAAGTAGTGTGTTTATTTGGTTTTTATATCATGTCTTGCAATATTTAATAGCAAGCATGTACTAACACTCGTTCAGCTAGTATAATATGTTTCCTATTGGTGAGGCAGTTATAAAACAGCATGCTCTTTGGACAACATTTTTTTTTGGGCGAAATTTATTTTATCCTCTAGTTTAGCCCTTGTGCACTTCACCTCCTGTTTTTTAAAAATAGCCAAATGTAATTTTGGACTAAAGAGTAATAGTAACACCATTAACAAAAAGAGTGATTTTACTTACACTATTAGCTTATTTTTTTATACCCTTCATATGAGACCCTTCACATGAGACGTCTGTTTTATTTTTTTAATTTTTTTATCTGGTGTACTTTTAAGGACAAAAGACTAAAATTAAATATATTTTATTATCTCTTTATACCTATTGCTTTTCTATCCCTACTGTTCTTCTTTCCTTCTCAATTTTTCTTTTCCGTTCCATATCTTTTTTCAAAAAGTAAGAATTATAGTGTTTTAATCATAGAAGAAATCAATGGATGAAGAAACGGTGATAAAATATCATAAAAAAAATTGAAATAATGAGTTTTTTTTATTTGTTTAGTAGGTTTTCATTTTATTTTCTGAGAGAATTCTTTGACTTTTGCTCAGTGTATCAAAATTGAACAAAATAAAATAGTCTAGAATCACATTGCCGAACAAAAAATATATGTCTGGTAACCTATTATCAAACTGTAGATGGTAAAAAGTTGAACTCCAAACTAAGTATGGACTCAAGTACTAAGATCGCCCTGAGAAGGCGACTAAGGGTAAGAAAGGAGTGTGGGCCAAAGCCTAAGGGAAGTGGGCCGACGCAGGTCCGACCCACCAAGGGTCCAGATGGACTCAGCGAGAAAAAATGCCCAAATCAAGTTGCAGAGGCAGCACCTGTAGCGGTGAAGTTGTCGAGGGGACATGTACAGCGGCAGAGTTGCTGAGACACTTTGTCTCAGCGCTGCCATTCTTATTAACTTCGGTTTCGCCGCCACTAGAAGTTGTCAAGGGAACTTGTGTAGCGGCAGAGTTGCTGAGGCACTTTGTCTCAGTGCCGCCATTCCTATTAACTTCGGTTTCGCCGCCACTGGAAGTTGCCAAGGGAACATGTGCAACGGCAGAGTTGCCGAAGTACTTTGTCTCAGTGCCGCCAGTCCAAGTACCTTCGGCCCCGCTGCCATTCCAAATAATCCCACAACCATTTGGAGTTGCTGAAGGAATGAGAAAAACCGAAGCAACTAAGTTGTGGAGGCAATACTTGTAGTGCCCAAGTTGTGAAGGCATTTTGTCGGCGTCGCTATCTCTAATATCTTCGGTCATGTCGTCTGAACTTGCCACGGGAAACGACTACCGCAGCAACTACTACTGTAGCAACTACTACCACAGCAACTAAGTTACAGAGGGAATACCCTGCTAATGTGATAGTAGCTTTTGAGGGAGGTTTCCCTCTGCAAGTAGAGGCTAATGCTTGGCGCTGATAGCAGGTCCCAAAGCATTACTAGCCTAGGGCTGATAGCAGGCCCCATAGTTTGTTAACTTGGCACTGATAGCAGGCCCCAAGACTTACTGGTTGGAGTTGATAACAGGCCCAGAAATACCAGTTTACCGCGGCAACCCCGTGAAGATAGGAGCAGGGTAGCCCGAACATAAGGGACTCCCTTCCATTGCCCAAGTCATGGACCTGCCTTAGTTGCACAGGCAGGACTAAGGAAGCTGCCTCGGGCTTGGTATTAAGGCATAACATGGCTGATAGCGGGCTTGGCTGTGGCTTTCGTCCTGAAAAGCTGGGGGAATTTGTGGTTAGGTGGCTAAGGGTGGAGGTTTCGCTGAGGTAAGCACGAACATAGTCGATAGCAGACTAATGGAGTCCTGGGAATGCATGTACTGGCCAAGTAGAATTGAGAAGGTAAGTGTAGCGGCGAGGTTCACCGCTGCAAGTGCACTTACTGAGGTTCAAGCTGAGAAGGCAAGTGCAGAGGCAAACACTCCCGCCGCAACTACACTTGCTGAGCCTCAAAAAGGTTGTTGCGGAGGCAAACAGATAGTACACAGTACATGCAGAGGGATACGTGGCACCTTCAGCCTGGTGGCTCAAGGCAGAATATTCCATGTGATCTTCTAGGACACATGTCTTCTCTCTATTTGGCCACTTGGTGTCTTCTTGGCACCAAGGAAAAGTCTATAAATAGGGCCTATTTCCCAAGGTTCAGCAAAATGAATGTTGGAAATTTGGGGGAGATGCTGCCCAATTTGGTACTGCCATACACTTATTCTTGAGCCACTTGCTTCACCCTCACCCAGCTACATACTCTCTAATTCCCAGATAGTTGCTGCTGTTCATTCTTAAGCCACTTCCATCATCAGTGGACCATTAGCATAGTTTTGCCTCTCTAATCACCCCTCTAATCTTGAACCCCCCTAAATTTCTGGCGACTCCACTGGGGAGGCGGCTTTGTTGATGGTTCATACCCGTAGTGGATTACACACTTCACTGGAAAAAATGACAGAAGATGAAGTTCAGCAACTCCCACGACAGCAAGGCTTTGCCAATGGCGGAGCAGTACATGCGGAAGACCATGACCACAGTATCGTGGTTGAGGCAGTTCAGTCACTACAGGATACGTAGAGGGAGATCCTGGCAGCTTTGCAAACTCTCACTGAGGCCATTATGGCCATGGTTGCTAAACCAGTTCCAGTGCAAGCACCCCCACATGTAGCAGTCCTAAACCCAGCACCTAACTTGTTCCCTGAGGTTTGGGCTTCGATCTAGGTGCCTTTGGTGGTGCCTCAAGCGAACGGTACAGTCGCTGGTTCAGTTACCCAGGAGCAGACTGGACCATTCCAACCCACTCACTTTGTTACTCTAGCCGATGTACAAGCTATGCTCGAGCAAGAGCGCAGCAAGAAACAATTGCCATCTCTCCCAGACCCAAATGTGAAGCCCCCATACTCTCAAAGACATTGACCATGCCCTACCCAACTAGGCATACGGTGCCCAAGTTTATTAAGTTTGATGAAAAACAAGGCAATGCCAGAGAACACGTGGTCAGGTTCATTGAAACTCTTGGTGTCCATGGCAGTGACCACCCTCTGCGCCTTCGGGAGCTCTCTAAATCACTTACTGAAAGAGCTTATAGTTGGTATGTGAACTTGGCTCCCAACTCGATCAAGAGTTGGGAGGAGATGGTGAACAAGTTCCACACGAAGTTCTTCCAAGTCCAGGAGAAAGTTACAACCCTCACACTTGGGCGAGATCTCCAAAAAGAAGGTGAAGATATACTGAACTATGCTAAGCGGTTCCAAGACAAGGCTATTGACTGTCATAAACCAGTGGATGAAGCTCACTTAGTCAGCATATGTATGGAGGGTGCCATATGCAACTACAAGATTTTCTTGGTGAACCAGAATCTGCCTACCTTTTTTGCTTTGATTGAGGCAGCTAGAAATCTTAGTACCACTGGTCCTTTATACAGATCTCGTGACAGCCACCGCTACTCCCGCAGTAGTAGAGTTTCTGCAGTAACCTCCACAGGAGGAAGCCGTTCGCAAGCAGAGGCTTCGTCCTCTCGAAAGAGGAAAAGTTATGAAGACAAGAATCCATATCCTTGCAGCCTTGAGAACGTTAAGGCCTTGGTTAAAGAATGGGTCGCTGATGGTGAACTTACTTTACCTCCGGTTGAGGTTACTCCAACCAAGAAGGATAAAGAAAGCCTAGATTATTGTGTCTATCACAGAACCACCAGACACCCTACCAGGGACTATTGGACGATAAAAAATATCTTCAAAAAGAAAGTTGACACGAATGAGTTGAAGTTCAAAGATGCCGGTAATCATGACGTACGAAAAGACCCTTATCCTAACCACAAGGAGAAGGGGAAGAATGTACACATGATCAGCTACCTTGGGCTTGTGCGCGATCAAGTGCACATGGCGTCTTACTATGATGAGTTAGAAGAAATTGCAACTGGCCAACTCCCTGAAACAACACTTGCAGAGGCGAAATTCGCAGAGGATACTCATGCTCAAGCCTTGCAAAATTTTGTTAAGTTTTGCACTTTCTTTGACCAATTGGAACTGAGCCAAGCCGCTAGGATGGAAGCAACAAAGTCTCTCATCACCATCTCTAAAGTGCACCATGCTGAAGTTTTTGAGGCCAAGGACTATGTGCCTCGGCGTATCCAGGAAGATTATAGGGCCATTACTTTTTCAGAGGCAGACAGAGCATACCCATTTCCCCATAACCGACCTCTTTTTGTCACAGCTTATATCAATGATGAGGAGTTCAAGCGTGCTTTCCTCGATGGTGGGGCGTCCATAAATATCATTACCACTAACACCTTCGCAAAGGATGGCATCCAAGAGTTTAGAGTGGTTCGCCAACCCATTACTGTAACCGGTTTTGGTGGTGAGAAAAAGGTCATTAAGGGCCATGTTGTGGTGGACTTAGCAGTTGGCGAGATTCATTTCGCAACCAAATTCCATGTGATTGAAGCAGATACAAACTACCACATGATACTTGGCTAAGCCTAGATGCACGGATATGGGGCTATCCCGTCCATCTATCACCAATGTGTGAAGGCAAAGTTGGGAGAGCACATAGTTACCATAAACACGTCTGAAAAGCCATTTGGAGTGGAAGAGGCACACTACTCGGATGTAGTTTTCTTTACTGAGTTGTCCACGAATGAAGCTCCAAGGATTGGTAAAATTGCACGGGCAAAATTACCAAAGTGGGAAGACATTCGAGATGTAGAGGTTGCTCCAGAAAGCAGTGGACAGAAAAGGAACAGCGAATCCACAAGTCCTCCGCCCAAGATTGTCAAGGTACGTAAGGGCGACAAGACAGTTTACTACCTATGACGGTCTTGGGGTCAAACTTCATACCCTGGGAGGATAGCCCGGAGACAAATAAATGTGACAGAAGTGAGTCCCAAGAAGGATTGGTGGAGACGCCTGAGCCCGCCCCTGAATGCATGCAAGATAGACCCAAACCCCAACAAGA